CCCCTTGGAGGTACCTGTCTTGTTTTCCTGCTCTGGTATTGTGTGTGTGTGTGTGTGTGTGTGTGTGTTCGCATGTGCGCTCTTTCCTGGACTTGTGTAGCTCTGGTGTGGTTAAGTAATTTGCTGTTGTTTCTCATTGGAATTCTTGACCATTATTTGGTCTGGCGCTATTTTTAGTTTGTTTTCAGGAGTAGATTTGTGGGAGCTGGGCTGCCTGCTTCTGTTGAGACAGGCTTCTTTGTCTGAAGTCCTCAGCCCCCACCCCCCAATTCACAGATGAGGAAACGGAGGCTCAGGGAGCTTGAAGGAGTCGGTTAAGGGGCCACAGGTGGGAAGTCTCAGACTCTGCAGCCATCTTTCATCCCCCTGAACCGTGCTCTCTCTGCACTTTTCCTGCTTCCTTCCCTTGCCTTCTTGAGCATGCGGTGCAGAATATAATTTCCCCTTTTCTTAGTGACTCAGGATCATCGTTATGGCTTGAGTTGTGGTGGGGATTCTGGTTCAGGTCTGGCTTAGCCCAGTTCGCCTCGGAGAACCTTGTCCACTCTGAGATTCGGTGGTTCTGTGGCACGCTGAAGATGCTGCTGGCGTGAGGTGGAGGGGCCAGCCTCAGCAGTGACCCTCAAAGGCCTCCTCTTAAATGAGACCGGGGGGCTGGTTTGCTGCTTGCTTGTTCACTTCTTTCCTTTTACAGTGGAGTGACTTCTACCTGCTGGGCAAGGTGACATGACCGCTTTGCTTCAGCATCAATTAGTGCATCGATAAATCAGCAAACACGTATTAAGCACCCACTGTGTGCTTGATACAAAGCTTCAGCAGCAGGCAGACGAGAAGGCAGAGCTGAGATTCGGAGCCTTGGCTCAACCTTTGGGGCTGTAGAGATGCCCAGAGGGTCCAGTTTTGTTGGAGCCTTCTCAACCTAGCACTTCCTGTGTGTCGGGCATTGTGCTAAGCCAGTTCCAAATATGATCTCCTTTAATCCTGGCAACCCTGCAAGGTAGAGTCTAAATTATTTATCCTCTTGTGCCTCTGTTTCCTCATTTGTGCAATGAGGTTGCATCTGTGAGCCCAGGCTCCTAAGTCACTTCCCAACTGCTGGCCTCAGTTTCCCTCTTTAAAATGGGCTGATGGGTCTCCATGGCCTGAGGTCCCTCCCACTTGTAGACCCAGAATCCTCTGTGTCTTTGTCTCCCAAGCTGCTTTGCTTCCTGTTTCTTTGCCCCTGGACCCTCCCCTCCTCTGCTTTCACTGGGTCTTTCCCTTCCTCCCTGGCCCTGAGCAGCAGCTGCTGCAGTCGCCTGATGCTCAATTTCCCCTTTCCCTCTGCTTTTCGAACTTTGTGCTGTCTCCTGTTCTTTGGAACTTTCATCTGAAAAACCAGGTCTTTGCAGGTGTCCCCTGCCCGCCATGCTGGCTTGGGGGCGGCGTGGCATTTGGTTCTTCTAAACTGTGTTCATTCCTGGTGGGGCCTCAGGCCTGGCTCTTTGGCTAGCCACGTGCTTCCTTTGAGGGGCGACCTCCAGGTTTGGAGCTGTCCCAGAACTCTGAGTCTTTCTGACTCTGGTGTCTGGATGACTGAGTTTCTCTCCCTCTTGGCTTCTCTCCACCATCCTTTGCATGTTCAGTAAATGCCAAATGCATATGTATGTGCCTAGAAAACTTGAAGCCTTGCTGCAGACGGTTCAAAAACTCAGCAGCCATCGTTTCTGGTGGAATCTTGTCAACCTGGAATCCTGTTAGCTTTTAATTGTTGTAGGCATGTTGTTACCTCCCCCCCCCCGATGATTTTTTTGGCTACTCATGAAACAAATATAAAGACCTAAACAGCCCTCAGTCCCATGAGGCCCTCTTCACAGGTCAGTAGCAGTGCTGGTGGTAGAGGGGCTGAAACAAGAGGATAGGCTACAACATCGAGCTGTGTTAAGACAGCCTTGTACCAGGGATCCTGGTGACCTGTCTCTAAGAGTCTGTGCTATGTCTCCTGAATGAATAACATTTGTAAAAATATACTATTGCCCCCACTGCCCAAGGCTCTGTCCTGAGCCCTCTTCTCTCTGAACTTCCTTTTGGAGATTTCATCTGCTTCCATGGGTTTAACTAGTTTCTCTCTGTAGGATACTCTCAGATCTCTGTATCCAGCCCCGACCTCTCTCCTGAGTGCCAACCCTGCAGCAGTAACTGCCAACTGGGCATTTCTACCCGAGTGTCCTCTAGGCCTCTCAATCTCAGCATGCCCGAAGCAGAATTCATTATCTCTCTCCAAATCCACTTCTTCCCCCTGCCCCCAATCTCTCTCACATTTCCCTTCCTAATTTTCTTTCCTATTATTCCAGTTCCTGCTTCCTCTTTTGGGGCCAGACTGACCTGATAGCTCTTCCCTCTCTACCTTACCTCTCCCACCTATGGGCTTTTGCCCTGGCTGCTGCCCGTGTTTAGAATGCATTTGCCTCTCACATTTAGAATGCCAGTTCCCTTCCAGAAACAGCTCAGATGAGGCCTCTCTGATCGTCCCTTTTGTTAGCGCTTTTTTTCTGTTAAAATTACTTTGTATTATTTCTCTTCAGTACTGTGTAGTGTGTCTGCACGGGTGCTGTTTCCCTCCAGTGGAATATCAATGCGTGAGCGTGCACACGTGTGTGTGTGTGTGTGTGTGTGTGTGTGTGTGTGTGTGTGTGTGTGTGTGTCTGGCACCTAGGCTCACTATATGCCTGTTGAACTGAAGAGAAAGATTCATGGAACAGAAAACATACATTTCCGGGCTTGATGGATTTCTATGATGTACACTGCCCTTTGTGTTTGGAACAGCTGAGGGCTGAGGACCAGCTGTTGTGGGCTCATGGAAACTACCTAGGCTTTGGAATGGGCCAGCTCTTTGTTACTGCTCTTAGCCACTTGCTTCCTGGGGAAAATCACTTTTACGTCTCCATGCCCTGCACTTAGCACAGTGCCTGGCACATAGTAGGTGCTTAATTTGTGGTTTGTCCTTCGTTCTCAAAGAGGAACATGACATCGGGGAGATGATGCCATGCCGTGTTTCGTAATTATTTGTTGACTGACTGGCTGGCCTTGGTTTTTTCCTCTTTAGAAGGAGGGTTTTGGATTCCTACCAGCAGTGAGGATAATTCGCATTTAGCCCTTTCTGGAAAGGTTAGGAATTGTTTCACAGCCCTGCAGGGTGGGCTTCAAGGTTCTCTCTCTCCTCTTTCTAGCTCTGAACTTCTCCTAAGGGCTCAGCTGAAGCTCAAGCCAGTGTGAATGGATTCTCTGCTCTCCTAGTTTCTCTAACTTTAGTCCCTTTTTCACGGTTATCAGGAATCTCTTGGCCGGCTGCCATTCAGACTTGGCAGAGCCCTCTGCTTCCTTGTTCCCTCACCCTTCGGTCCTGCTCTCACCCAATGGAGTGAGAATCTCCCCTTGGACATCATTTTCTTTAATGTTATCTCCTTGTCCACAAACCTATAGTGGCTCCTTAGTGCCTTTAAAAGTAAAACTAATAAAGGATTTTAAGAAAAAAAGATCAAGCTCACTTCCTAGATTTAGAGGTGGGAGGGCCGTTGAAGGTCATACAGTCTGACCCCCTTGTCTGACAGCAGAAAACCCAGGCTGGGAGAGTGACTTGCCCAACATCCCACAAATGGCAGGGCCGAGATTTGAACCCAAGCCAGTGTCTTTTCCATGGTACTACTCTGCTTCTGCTTTGGACTTAGGAGGAGCTATCTGTTTTCTAGTGGAACACTTCCCAGCATGCTGCCCTTTGCCCATTTTCCTATCTCATCTCTTCCAAGGGGGGAGCCGTGCTACATTCTGGCAAACCGACTTTCTTTTCTCTTGTTTGGTCCTCCCTTGACATGTGCCGTTTCCTCTCTCCATGGTGGATGAGGAATCCACTCCTTCCCTGGCTCTGTGGTCTGCTCTTCTGGCCCCCTCCCCTCTTCACATCCACCTCAGTCTGTCCCAGGTCCTTGGTGTCCCCCTGTTTTCATCACATCCCAGTGGTTTTCCTCCTCTCTTACTTTTTTGGGGGAGGGATTACAGGCATATTTTTCCATTCATTCAAAGAAGAACTCCCCAGCATCCCTTCCTCTGGGTCTTTTAGGAGAGCTGCGCAACTCTGGGGCTGCACACCTGTCCCCACATTCATAATCAGACTGACCCATGACCATATCTGGCCACTCCTTTCACGAGAGGCAGCCTGGTATAATGCCAGGAGCACTGAGTTCAAATCCGTCTTTGGATGTGTGCTAGCTGTGTGACCTTGGACAGATCCCTCAACCTCTCTGAACCTCAGCCTTCTCACCTGTCAAATGGGAATGTTGGATTCAGAGACCTCCCAGGGCCCTTCCAGTCCTAGACTGAAGATCCACATCTCTGTTTTTCACCATTTTTATCAGTAATTAAAATGCCACGGCCTGCTCACCCCCACCACTGGCTTCTCCATCTTCCCATTACATCACAATTCCTTTGGGCTGATGGAAACAGGTGATTCTAGAGGAGGTTGCTTTCCCCTTCTAGCTTGTTGGCCACGTGGGGCCAGTCTGTGCTTGGTGAAAGGCCTTTGCCTTTTCTGTCGTCCACCGGGTCCTTGGGATGCTGTTCTTCTCTCCCTTCCAGGCTCAGCTCCTGACTGCCTTCTGTAAGGAGCTGAGTCTTCTCGAACTCCTTAAATAATTTATATTTTTATATATTTATGATATTTTGTATTGACTTACCTGGGTGCTTCTGTTCCCTAAGCACTCCCACACATAAATCAGTTATTATTATTTATATTATTATATTTTATATAATATATGTAATATATTACTGTAATATATAACAATAGAATATATTCTATTATATATTATTATGATATATAATAATATATTGTATTATTACGACACTTTCCATGTCCCTAGAAAAGGTGCCAGTTTGCACTGACAATTCAACTAGTCTCTCTATTTGCCCTTTGTGTGACCTCCTGGTATCAGTCTAACTCGATGACTATTTTGTTTTCCCCATTTTAGGGAATTGTGGGTAATTTGGCCAGTGGCAAGTCTGCGCTGGTCCACCGGTACCTGACTGGCACATACGTTCAGGAGGAATCACCTGAAGGTAAGTTATGTGCAAGCTGCCCATCTGTGCCTTGTGCCAATTTAATTGTTTCGTTTTATTGAATGTATCTGCAATCATCAATATATTCTAGCACTACCCCTCTCCCGAGGGGAAAAAAAATCCCTTATGAAAACGTAATTGTATAACTGGTGTTTCTGCAACTTAGTAGTAAGCAAGATTCATTTACTTGAGCTATCAGAGTAGTAGGAAAAGCTAGCTTTAAGCAGAGAGGTTGAATGTATTGCCTTTGCTTTGTAATGGGTTAGCCCTTGTCCACTGAATAGTTATTCCATGGGGAATTTCCCTAATCCTGATGTCCTGTTTCCATAAAAATGTTTGTGTGCTCTGCCCCACAAGGATGGGAGCGTTTTTCCAACGATGGCAGAGACACCAATCCCTGACCCAGTCTAATTGGATCCCATGAGTTTCCCTCTGGAATGGATTCTAAGCGTTTAATTGGCAATGGGGAGAAAATGACTTCTTTTGGCCGCAACCCTTGGAGTGACTCGATTCCCGTACTCCCAACCTTTTAATAGGTTTTTTAATTATTTTTTTTACAAGTAATTGGAATGGAAACAGTCACAAGTGGGAAAGCTGCTTTCTCAGCCCTCGTAGCCAGGTCAGAGCACTCCCATAGAAATGCAAGAGCAAAGCCGTTCTCAATGCTGTTGACTCCTTGTGATCTTTTCCTCCATCTCTGAGACACTGAATCTCTGGTTCCTTCCTTTTCTTACTGGCTGTTCCATTCTTTGCAGATGTGGATGCAGGTAACTATACGTTCCCTTCATGCAGCGCTTGTCTTGTTTGGAAGAGACAGGAGGCTCAGCTTCTGTTACTGTAGAGTCCCGTCCCATCCCCCCCACCCCACCCTGCTCCTTGTTCGGTGTCATCATCCAAATGCTTTTTCTTTCTTTTTTTTTTCCCTTTAGATTTTAAAACATCTCACTGTTTCATCCTGTAGTTGTCTTCTTAGCAGTAGTTGTGACTAGTTCCATATGTCTCCTATAACACCTGTCTGCGGTTGTTAACTCCTGTCCTGGACGCTGTGTCTTACTCTGAGCATTAATTCCAACACTCTTGGTGTTGCTCTCAGGGTGGGCTTGACTTTGCCCTGAAAGGTTAGCAACTTTGCTCTGAAACTGGAGGTTTGATCCCATCAGGGAGAGACCACCTGGAGCGTAGAGAAGGTGATGGAGAGAAATTCGTGGGATATTGCCAGTTAATCACCTAGAAATAAGAACTGGATGCAACATGCATTTATGAGCAGCTTCGTGGTGCCAGGTCCCTTACTAGCCACCAGGGTTACGAAGACAAAAGTGAGGTGCATCCTGTCCCCAGAGAGCTGAAGGGTTTACTGGAGGAAACAAAAATATTCGGTAGTCTATAAATTCAGGGAGTAAGCAAAACATGCAAAGCAATTTTCGTGAGAAAAGAGCTACTAGGAACAGGGGGAATTGGGCAAGGGTCATGGGAACACATCAACGAAATGATAGGTCTGGTCCCCTCAGATTCCATGATCTGTTCTCAGTGGTATGATAGAAGAGATTCTTGTTCATGTAGGGATCGACCACATGGCTTCTGAAGTCCCTTCCATCTCTTGAGATTCTGGGAAATATTACCACATGAGGTAGCCCTAGGCACCATACAGACTAGGTCTAGTTTTTACTCCATGCCAATCTAGAACTCTAGGAGAGCCCACTCAAGCCCACCTGTAACATGGCTTCTGATACCACAGGAAAATGTGTATGATAGAAAAGCTCTGAATTTGAAGTTAGTGGACTCGGGTTCAAATCCTGGCATAGCTACGTGTTACCTGTTTGGCCCTGGGCAAGTCCTTTGACCTCTCTGACCCTCAGTTTCCTCTTCTGTAACAAAGGGGCTGGATTACAGTAGACTTTCCTCTCCAAGGGGGAGGGGCATTCCTTGGTTATCTTTAAGCTGAGATTGAACAATCACTCATTCCGTATTTTATAGCAGAAATCCCTCCTTTTTTTTTTTATTTTTTTATGGATTGGACCAGATAGATGGTCGCTGTGGCTCATGCCAACTCTATGATTTTATGACCAGGTGGTCGCTAAGGTTTCTTTCTGCTCCGGAGCTGCGAGCTGATGAGCGCGGGCTGTTGATTTGCCCACAGCACTGCCTCATCATGGGAAGGCGTGCAGGTTCTCCACTGCGGCGCCCATCACACATTCAAACTCCGGCCGCCATTTTCCCATTTGGCTGCAGACCTCTTCCTCGCGGGTTTGCTGGGGCCTCCTGCCCCCTTGTGCTCTTTGTTGTCATGCCAAAGTGTCCATTGTAGTCTGGGACCGTTGTCTCCTGTAGCTGCCTATTTGCAATCAAGGGCCTGATATTGGCTTTGTGATCCTGGTTGTCATTCAGGTGCCTCTGAGGGTCCGCAGAGCTCTTGGCCTGGCCTTTTAATTCACAGTTGGTCCTTTTGATGAGGCGAATCTCAGCTCTCCACATGTCTGCTGTCACTGTTCTTGGCCCTGGCCTGCTTGTGTTGGGGAGCTTCCTCAGGATTTGGGGGAGGAAGCCGGGAAGCTCATTTTTTATCTGTTTTCCACCATAATGTCAGTGCCGAGAAACCATTGGGTTTGACTGGGGCGATGGTCCCAGGCTGAAAGATGGGCTTCTGAAGCACCTGTAGCTTTGATTTGTCCCAGTCTTTTCTGAGGACCAGGACTTTTAACATTCGCATGCACACGTTTGACCAGCAGTGCAGGAGCAGCAGCATAGAAAATGCATTCTGGAGGAAAAAGCTCAAAGAAGGCATGTCTGGGTAACAGACTTCTCAAGCTCCCTATCCAGACAAGTAAAATCATGGCTGGTGGAAAGAACCCAGGTAGGAAGTCTGACGATGTCAGTTCAAACCCGGAACCTGTTTGACCTTGGACAAGTCAATCTTCATGAGTCTCAGCTCCCTTCCCTGTTCGGAGAGGGGTCAGCTCTGTATTTCTGCTCCTAAGTCACTTAACCTGGCTCAGCCTGTTTCTTGTGTAAAAAGAGGGGAGGGTGAACTCAGTGGCCATCTAAGACTCCTTCTGGTTCTGTATCTGTGATTCTGAGTCAGCCTGTCAGAGCCTCCATTTTCTCCTCCATAAAAAGAGGAGGTGAACTTAAATGACCATCAGAGGCCCCTTCCTGCTCTTACCCTGTGCTCCTCCGAGACAGCCGTGTGTACACGAACACTCGGACACCCGGACGTGGGAGGCAGTGTAGAAGAATTGGAATTGGTCACTCAGGTCTATTCAGCAGATATTTATTAAGCACCTGGTATGTGGAAGGCAACTGCTATATACCAGGGCTGGGGCGACACTGCTCACACTGTGTAACTAGTTGACCCTGCCCTCCGGTCTATGTTCTTCTGAAGGGAAGAACACGGATACATGTCTTGCCTCTAGCTATACATGTTACCCTAGGTAAGTCTCTTAACCTCTTAGTGCTTTAGGCCCTAGTAGGACTATAGATGGGCAAGTCCCTATGCCATTTGTTGTCTCAGTTTCTTCCTCTGTGAAATGATAGCGTTGGACTAGATGAACAATAAGGTCCTATCTGTTTCTGTATTTTTGTCCCTGTGATCTGCATGAGGTGGAGGGAGGGCTTCCTCTTTATGCTGAAATCGTGGGTCTGAAAGCACCCTCAACAGCCCCCCTCCCCAAATACCCACACAGAGACACATATACCCTGAATTTAAGTGTTGAATTAATTGCAAAGCACTTGGCAGGAGCATACTGTTGGGAGAATGTACATACATGTATATGTATGTGTGTGTGTATAGGTATGCATGTGTTTGCATGTATATGTATGCTTGTGTGGATGTGTGTATTTTTTTAAACCAGTTTGAAGGTGAACTCTTATCAGCCTAATATTTAAACAGGAAATTAATTCCACAGTGTATTTAAAGGCCCAACCCACTTTATGGTGGTACCCAGAGAGGACATAAGCTTGAACATGACCTTGACATCTCTGGCTGCACCCCAGTGTTTTCCTGACCACGGTTTGTGGGAAGTGACTTTGTTCCCATCCTTCTCTGGTCATTTAGGGCAGTTGAGGAAGCCCATATGAAGTACCTTCTCTATGGGAGACACGTGCTGGGGAGCCCCCAGGAGGGCCCCCATGCCTCATTTAATCTCTTTCACCCCCTTTGCCTGTGTCCTGCCCCAGTGTCCCTCCCAGCTTGGTTCTGAGGCTGTGCTTGGCCCCTGGAGGTTTCTGGGCCCTGTTCAGAGCAGGGACCAGCATGGCTGGGCCTCTTTCATCCCTGCTCTGCCATAACTCATTATATTCCCAGACTCGAAATTGGCCTCACCATGTCTCTGAGTTTCACAGATTTAGAGCCAGGAAGGGCCTCTTCCCTCATTTTACAGAGAAAGAAACTGAGGCCCAGAGAAGGCCTTCCCCCTTGAGACTATCGAGTTTCTTATGTGTCGTCTCGCCCTTTTGAACTGAAGCTTCTATACTAGATCCTTAACTGACCGACTGGTAACACAAGGCCGAGATCTGAACCCAGTCTGTCCTCTGACTCCTACACTCTGGCTGCTGAGTTCCGTCAGTTCCTCGGGTGCAGGGATAGTGGGTGCTCTTGAGCCACTGGGTCAGGAGGTGCCTGGCCTGAAGCTCATTCCAGACTCTGTGCCAGTCACTCCACCTTAGTTCCCTAACCTAGACTCTAACCCTGGTTCTGATTCCCAGCCTCAGTTTCCCCGTTTGCAAAATGGGCCTAATAATGGCACTTCCTGAGGTTTCAGGGAGGCTTGAAGAAGAGGTCTGCTGAGCGCTCATCACATCCACGTCAGGAGTCATGATCACTAAGAGGGGCAGTGTGGCCGTCCACCCTCAGCCCCCTGAGAACATTTGGCCAACAGGGGCCCTTTGGGAGGATCAGGACATCAGCCTGTTAAAGCTGAAGGGGGGTGGTAGAGGTACCCTGCCTATCCACCCCTTTCACAGACTCCGCCTTAACAGGGGCCATCTCAGAAGCCCCAGGCACGTCACTTTAAACCTAGTTGTCCATGGAGTGGTGGGTGGACTTTACACTCTGAGGAAGTCACCCTTCCTTAACCTGTGATCTTGGAGGGGTCGCTGGGTTTTCTCCAATTTTGGCTTCACTTTTCCAGAGACCCAGTTCTGAAGCTGGGCAGCTCTGATATTCCCATCACAGCAGCTTGGGGCAAATACCCATTGCTGGCCAGCCCTCAGCCAGGTCTGCTCCCTGAATTGGTTTAGAAGTGATTCTCCATACGTCTATCTGCCCAGAAGCATTTTTAGCAGATGTATCTATTTAAAATGTAGCAAGTGAGTAAAAGGGATCCACGCATCCAGAAAATAACGTCATCTGGTGGTGGGTTGGGATTTTGTGTGTATGTGATTTAGTTTTTAATAACCAGCCATGTGGTGGGTGCCCAGCATCAGGCTCCAGGGCCTGCTCCCTCACGGGTGATCCAACCCACTTGCCAGGCATTTTTTCTTTAAAGTCAGTCTGCCTGATGCCTTCTGTTTTCACATCAGTCATTTCTGGACTGTCTCTCCCCAACGCAGAGACGCACACATGCACATGTGCTCACACAGAAACAGAGACATACACACAGACATGCGCACACACACACACACACACACACACACTCGTGCACACATGCACACACACTTGCGTGACTCCAGCCTGAACCCTTTATTGTACCAACATAAAAACAATTCAGCAGAAACTCCCTACATAGTTCCTGTGACTGATGAGGTTTGCACATTCTGCCCAGTTGCTTTC